ACTGGAATGCTGAATCTGTGGCAGGCTTCTTAGCACGCAACAAATCACTCGGATCTGCATTTTTTTGATACTCCTACAACTCCACTACTGCCATTTGTGCATCGGCAATCTTTGAGCCCTTCTGGAAGCACTCTTCTACCTTCTTTCGACTGCCAGTGATAGTGATCACCCCTTTAGGACCAGGCATCTTCAATTTGAGGTACACGTAACATGGTCGAGCCATAAAACATGCATAAGCTGGCATGCCTAGAATAGCATGATAGGCACTTTGGAAATCCACAACTTCAAATGTCAACTTTTCCTTGCGATAATTCTTGGAATCACCGAAAACTACATCAAGGGCGATCTGACCGAGTGACACAGGAATAACTCCATGGAAACTCATATTACTTTCACTGAGTCTGGACATCGGAATGCCCATTCCTTTCAACGTCTCTGCATATAGTATATTCAGACCACTGCCACCATCCATCAAAACCTTAGTCAATCGAGTGCCTTTGACTACTGGGTTGACCACCAGCACTTGCCTCCCAGGGGTGGCTATGTGCGCTGGGTGATCGGACTGGTCGAATGTAATGGCAGTCTGAGACCACTTCAAATAACTGGGTGTCACCGGAGCGACCATGTTCACTTCTCTATTGATGACTTTCAGTCGACTCTTACTCTCAACATCAGGAAAATCATTAGAGTGGAATTGACGTGGGGGTAACCATCATCATCTTCCTCCTCATCCTCAACTTTGTCCACTTTCTTCTTCTTTTCCTTGGGCTGTTTCTCTCGGAATTGCTGGATTAGGAGTCAACATTGTCGAGTGATATGCTTCGGGTAAATGAAATTACCCTCTTCATATTTTTTTGGTGTGAATGTGGCATGGTAAATCTAGCACATCATTTCCATCTTGATCTTTTACTTTCTTGCGGTTCCACGGCCCTTTGGGTTTCCCTTTGAACTTTCCTTGAGTCACGGCTAAGGCTTCACCAGGAGCAGCTGGCTCGGCTTTGCGCTTCTGCTTCCGACTGGAGTTCCCTCCTCCGGTTTCGTGGGCGACTGTTTTGTGCTTGCCACTCCGGAGTCGGTCTTCTTCTTCACCATTGGCGTATTTGGTGGCAATCTCCATCATCCGAGTTAGAGTCAATATGTACAGCCACTCGATAATCCTCAAGCCAAGTGTTAGGCTTGGACTCGCCAGTGAACTTACTGACTCCAATCGCCAACCTGAAGTTGGGAGGAATCACTGCAGCCCTGATGGCTCTACTGAAGCACTCTGGACCTGAGACATGTACCCTGCTGGTGGTTGGGAAATCTCTGTCGTGACCTTCTCTGTGAGCTCTGTTTCTGTCGACCAGACCCTGAACGAGAATAGATCTCGCATCAAAGCCTGGCTCCCTGGGGTCGACTGGAATCCTTCGCCCGCCACTGTGAGGACGTCTGTCATCATGCTGTCGAGGCATGTATGACTCACTCCTTGGGGGAGGCGTGGGCACTCGACGACGATCATCATGATCGAGTCAGTGATCATAGTGCTCGCGGTTTCTGTACTGATCTCGCCGGTCCCCACGTCCTTCACGCCTCGGGGGCGATCTCGGGCTGTGAGCCGACTGGACTGTGTCTGCAACTACGGGCCTGCTATGGATCCTATTCCGCGATTGAGATACTGTTGTATTCTGCTCTCCCACCGCACGGAGCAAAGCTCGGATCTGCGCCAAACCTCGACCAGCTTCTGACTGGGAAGGTTGGATTGACTCCGCTATTCGGGCCGCAACTGCGATATTCTGGATCGGAGTTCGGTATACCTGAGTCGGAGGCAGAAAAAGTTGGCGTCGACTGAACTCGGGGATACGCTGCCGAGCACGCTCGTCAAGTGCGCGCTGGAGGTTCTCCAGTCAAGTGCGCTCAGCCAAGTTGGCCAGACGCACCTCCTCCAAGGCCTGGGCCTCAGGGGTTTCTCCAACGATAGGAGTGTGAAGCGCATCCATGTTCCGGCGGCGAAGTTCTTCCCTTTGCTGCGAAGAGAGGGGTTTGGGGCGGTACGCTTCATGAACACGCGACGGATCACCGTCCCCATCGCCTCCGTCTTCACGGGTGAAGCCAGGAGGACTGCGTGGTCCATTGACTATCAAAACTTCTGCCGCGGGGTCGCTGTTGTCGCACTCGGATGCAGTCTCTACGGAGCCAGTTGAACGGGCCGTAGAGAGTTTCATCGGGCTCAATTGCCGCGACTTGGGGGGTGGCCGACTGGCGAACCACCGCATGCCTCACCCACCGCAGAAGCCTCGATCGACCGGAACGCTTGCTCCGGCGGGCTGCGGGGAGGGAGGTCAGCACAGGAGCCGACCGATACTAAGTCGACGGCTGCCGTAGGAGGACGCCACGGACGCACATGCGAAAGTGTGTTGCCCCGTGGACGGGGAGCGCCTCGACGTTAAGTGGCGCTTCTTGGAGCCAAGCGGAGTCATTGGCGACGAATACGAGCGCACCAAGATGGATCTCGCGGCCCTCGGACAAACCTCCGCCCGAAACCATGTTGATGGGGATCGGAAAAAATCGCAACTTCTCCAACAAGTCGCTAAGACACCTACCCCACGGTGGGCGCCAACTGTCGTGGTTCTAAGTCTGACAGTAGAATGGGGGGTAGGAGTGTAGAGGCAAGATCCTAGCTATGGAGGAGTTTTACACACGAGTTTTATGAGTTCAGGCCCTTCTCGGAGGAAGTAACAGCCCTACGTCTCGGAGCCCGGAGGCGGTCGACTGGATTATATGCGTGTGAATTACAGGGGGTGCCAACCCTTGTGCCTATGGAGGGGGTGGCTTATATAGAGTGCGCCAGGACCCCAGCCAGCCCACGACACAGAGGGTTTAAGGTACATTGAAGAGAGAACGTTACTGGAAATGCCCACATTAAAGTGTTGTGAATGCCAATTAAGCCTATGAGTAAATGCTCGACCGTTGCATATGCAGAGTGGCTTTAGCTCTTCTGCCTATCGAGTGACTTCTGCGACGGTCGAGTGACATCGATTCTTCCGAGTGGAACGTTTCTGGTCGAGTGAATGATGATACTCTTTGGATGATCCTGGCTTTAGGGTGCTGTCCTAGGGGAGGATGTCTAGGTCAGGTCTATGACCCTACCCTAGGTACGTAGCTTCATCACCCCCCCCCCTTGCCCAGTCTGAATTGGACAAGGGGAAGGGGGGCGCCCCCTTCTTCCTTGTCTTCTCTCCTCTTTCCCTTCTTCTCCTTCTTGGACTAGGATAGGGGGAAACCTACTCCTACAAGGAGTAGGATTCCACCCCCCTTGGCACGCCCAAAGGAAGCAAATGAGGTGAGGATGATAACAAGGAACCAAGATGCGGCGGCTAAGGAGAGGAGGTTGGAGGCCGAGGAGAGGAGGGTGGCGGCCGAGGAGAGGAAGGTGGCATTGTAGGAGAAGAAATTGGCCATGGAGGAGCGATCTAGATTGTTAGAATGTGAGAAGTACTTGATCTCCGGGGACACATCTACACTCGATGAGAAGCAAAAGGAGTACGTCAATTTGCCCGTGAAGAAGTCTTGGTCCAAAAAAGAGCCATGGGCATGTGAGGTATGGGAGCTACCATGGGAGGCATGGGTGGCTTCGGAGCTACCATGGGAGGCATGGGAGCATCTACGGGAGGCATCGGTGGCATGGGGGGCATGGGTGGCTTCAGAGATACCATGGGCGGCATGGGAGGCATGTGTGGCTTCGGAGCTACCATGAGACGCATGGGTGGCTTCGGAGCTACCATGGGAGGCATGTGTTTTGGGTCTCTCATGGGAGACATGGGAGCACCTCCGGGTGACATGGGTGGACACATGTCTTCCGGGGTGCCTCACATACCTTCGCATGATGCCGTTAGAGATCCTGTGAACACCTTTCGAGCTCCCCATGATGATGGGGTGCGCGACAATGAAGAGGAGGAGGAAGAATCGTCTTCAGATGAGGATGAAGAATTGGAGGAAGAGGAGGACGATGATGATGTGGCATGATTGTTGATGTGCCATTTGTTTGTGTGAACTTTTATGTGTCATGAACTTGGTTGGGTGATTTTGAACTTGGTTGGATGATGATGTGGCATGATTGTTGATTTGCTGTGCAATTGAACTATGTTATGCCTTTTATTTTGCATATTTGTTTAATGTTTGAAACATCATCACATTGTCAAAATGGACGTGTAAAATCTTATTTGCAAGCGCCGGCTGCTCGCGCACGCTGTAAGTTAGCACGCCATATTTTACAGCGGCCGCTGGAGTCAGCGTCCTGCCGCGCGTAAAAACTGCTATTTCCATGCTGTAAAAAGGTTTTAGTGCGCGTGGTTGCGCGCCTGCTAGAGATGCTCTTAGCGATGACTACAATTTAACCTAACACACATCGCCAACCACAGGAATGAGAAGAGGGACCTGACCTTTACTTGCAAAACCAAAACGGAGCTAGCATCGTGAGACGGAGGGGGGGCATGGAGGGAAGCGACAGGGAGGGAATTTAAATGCTTCTGTTCAAGGCAATAAAGAACATCATCACCTCTCCACCTCGACGCAGCTTAGCTGTCCGGCGCCCTCATTATATATCGCCACGGGAGCTGCACCACCACCCCTCAAATACTCAGGCACAGGGCAGGGGGCTCTCACTTGGTCCGGTGTCCTTCACCCCGGCCGGCAGCGCTAGCTAGTACGTGCATGCAAGTGCCCTTCCAAGCGCGCGCCTCCAAACCACCCTATCTCCACCTCCACCTCCACACCCACATTAGTTTGGTTTCGCGTACACGTTCCGTGTCACTAGCTGGGTAGCTTCAACGTACTCCAAAGGTAATGTACCGCGCGGCAACGTCGGCTATTTAATTGCATCGATGGATCATTAGTATAGCTAGGTTGATGGAGGAGTATTCTGTTGATGTTGTTTTATGTTTGAGATCGAGCGAAAGCATGACATGAGCTATATTTGGTGTGCATTGTGCAGTGCAGCGGTGGTGTGCGGAGTTAGCTTGAAGATGAGCAGGAACAATGGCAAGGGGCCGAAGCTGGACCTGAGGCTGAGCTTCTCGCGGTCACGCGGCGGCGGCGGCGGCGGCGGCGGCGGAGGGGGTCCATCGGCTGCGCCGCCGGGAGGTAGCAACTCGCCGAGGAGGATGTCTTCGTCGTCTTCTTCCTCGGCATCCCCGCCGAGCTCGTGCGTGTCGTCGGAGGGGAGCCCGGAGGCTGGCGGGGGCAGTGGTGGCTCGGCGATGATCCTCGCGGGCTGCCCCCGGTGCATGATGTACGTGATGCTGTCGCGGGAGGACCCCAAGTGCCCCAAGTGCCAGAGCACAGTGCTCCTCGACTTCAACGACGTGGGCGCCGACCACCGCAACCCAGGGTTCGGCTCCGGCAAGGTCGGCAAGGGCAAGCGCGGCTGAACCGACCGGCCGGGCTTCTTCGATCTAGATGCTTAGCCGTCGTGTCGTCGATCGCCTAGCTGCCGTCCTCTTTAGTTTCTCATCAATCGTGTGCGTGCGTGTTCGTTGGTGTTGGTGTGTGCGTGCGTGCGAGTTGGGTCAAGAAGAAAGGAATTATTCCGTAGACCCGTCCCTTCCATGGACTAGCTAGTGGGACGCCGGGGTGCCCATGGAACGGGTCTAGGTAATAATTTCATCTGTTGTGTGAGTCGTGACTTCGTGCGTTTGTAGTACGGGGCAGTACTGGCAAGGATTAAGATTTTGTCTCTGAGGTTTTATAGAAGGCAGTAATGCGCTTGTCTCGCCCCGTCCTTTGGCGCCAGGCACAGCCGTGAAGCTTGACGCGGCCGGGGCATAAATACGCTGCAGTGACGCATTTCATTTCATACGGACGAACGACCGACGTCGAGCTATAGCTCTGGCTAGCTATGTCAGATAGGCAGCTCATTCATTCTCGTTTAACTCGCGCACATGTCCTACGTACGCCGCATCGAGCGAACATACGTACGCACGTACGTACGTACGCCTGCATGCATAATAACCTTTTCTGAATATATACTGTATGTATGGTTTTTGCATGATAAATTGTACTACTAGTACTCCTACTCAGAACATGCAAAGATCATCATGAGATTAACATGAATGAAGACTCGGGCAGTCAAATCAAAGTTGAGAAAAGTCTTGTTTTCTCGAGACCATGCATGCACTAATAAAGCTCAGACAACTTTTCCTGCAAAATAAGTTTGCATGTTGCACGGTTCAGACTTCAGACCACACACCACACCAGAGAGAAAGAAGCAAGGGAAGAGGCAGGCACGCATGGGAAGATGCTGGGTGGTTAGAGTCATTCAAAGGGGAGACTATTGCGGATTAACTCGCTTTTAAACCCAGAATGAATGCACGAGTAATTGGAGACAGTTGTGCAATAACAAAGAGGGGCATCGATCGTGTCAGGGCGCCGATGCATCAAACCACACAGTCGATGCCAACCTTGTCGCTTCAATGCGTTGTTGCTGAAATGCAAGGAAGGCCAATTGATTCCTCACACAGCCAGCCACTAAATGTGCCCTCATTTCCACTTCGTCTCAGCCTGCCCGGCTGTCTGGTACGCTAGCTTTCCACTGTACTCGCTACGCTCTACTGTGCGTACGTGCCTCTTCTGGACACAGAATCAAGGCACGCTGCGGCCGCTCCATCCCCTTGCACAGTCGCCGGCTTAATGCCGTCGAGAAATAAACAGTGCAACAGCCGCAGCAGCAAGAAGATTATGAAAATTACTGGCAGCAGCACAGTGTGCATGCGCCCCAACATAAATTAAGGCAGGCTCGATGGCCTCCCTTCTGAAAAGGACCTGTCCAACAGTGACCTCCGGAGAAGACGCTTGTCGATATCAACTTAGCTGGCCACTTTTAGGCAGACGCGCGCAGGCAGGCAGAGGTGTTATGGTGGGCATTCAGCTGATGGTATCCCGGTCCGTGCAAAGCTAGCGCCGATCGAGTACATGTGTGCATGGTCGTGCATGCAGAGTAGTAAACCGCGGCAATGCATGCATGGCCATACATATCCATCCTTGTCAGGCAAATTAAACGGATCGACCAATCAATCGACCAACCACTCGATTTCGGAACCCCTCCGAGCTAAAAGACCAGCTCATAATCAACCCCGATCATCGCAATTGAAGGCCATATAGTGCCTAGAGAGAAGATACGTACGGAGTACTAAAAACTAATAAGTGCCCATGAATATGAGTTGTTGCTTCTTGGCCAGGGTCACAGCTCCGACTGAGCTGTTCTTCTTTCTATGCAAAGATGCAGCGAATCATGCGTCCAAAATGTTTTGGTCATCAGATGCTCAATCGATCAAGTACTCCGTTTGATGCTCGGTGCCGCCATCTAGGAGTACTTCAGCCATGAATGGAGATTGGTAGGAATCATAAGTTCACTTTTGTGCCTAGATGGGGGTAGTAAACTAACTACTCCATTATACAAAGTGAGAAGGGCTGGTTGATCGGCATGAGAAATGATTTCATGGCATGTAGTATATATGCATGCACGGCACAAGAAACTTATTAAGGATGGTGCAGAAATTAAGCAGTGGGGGTGCTACCACAACTCAAAAGAACTGTCGTAGCTGGTACGCCAGTGTCAACAGCCTAGCTTGCAGATTTGTTGTGCAAATCGTATACCTAGCTATTACGAGGTCAATGGTCCATACGCATTTGATATAGCCAGCTAGCTGTACTACAAAGTACGTACTAGTACGTGGATCACTACTGGCAGACCGATCTCTGCCCGCCTGTTTTTATTTTTACTTTCATGAAATACAGCAAAAGCTTGGCCTTTTCGTTATTTGAGCAAGGAGTAAGAGTATGTACAAGGCCGAAGCCAAAAAGAAGCAAACGTACTATTCTCCCGGAATGATCACCCCTAAGTGTTTCCCTCTGGCAATACACCACAATCTAACCTCTCTCTTGGTATTGCCAAATACCATCATAGGCAAGGACGCAAAATTTGGCATGCATTTCATGTAGCCAGCTAGCTGTACTACAAAGTACGTACTAGTACGTGGATCTCTACAGGCAGACCGATTTCGGCTTGCTTGTCCAATGCTTAAAACTTTGTGAAGCAAAAGTGTCGTGCGTACGACGATCATTGGGACCGGTAATGGCCCCTTTGCGATTTGACTGTGGCATGTGGGGATACACTCGTGCAAAGAGCAGAATCAACAGACCACACAAGTGTTCACCCAGGTTCGAACCGCCGTGAGGCGTAAAATCCTACCCCTGCTTTGTATATTGGATGTGTTTGAGCTAAGTACAAGGAGCTTAGCTTGCCGGTAAGGTGCGCGGGAAGTGCGGCTACGCATGTAAATGAGCAATGTGTCGACCTTTGCAGATCATGCCAGTAGATAATCTTACTTCTCGAGATAGCAACTCCCCCATGTGACAATTCTGATGATAATCGTGAAGCAGATGATCCTGAGGCAGAAAACTTGGCCATGAACATCTATTCACAACAACATCCTGTAGCAAGGACAAACTGTTCGAAGGAGAAGAAGAGGCGAGGTGAGCGCGGACCTACTTTGGGGCATGGTTTAGAGAGTATTATAGCAAGGACCGGATCTACGATGAAGGTTGGCTTCATGGAGGGAGCAAACATGCCTATTAACCCTCTCCAAGCAGCAAAACTAGTTCGAAGGTTGGTTTTGAAGTCAAAAATCATTTGCCATTAAAAACCAAGTGGAAGGAGTAGAGTGCAGAAGGGAATAAGCATATGCTTCCTGAAACATAAAATTCATTAAAGGTCAGCCATCAAATGAATCTCTTTTGCATTTGTGCCATACCACATCTTTTTAACTTCGCACCCTAAATGTTGTAACATGCATGTGTGTATAATGTCTGCAACTAATGTTTGAGTTTCCAAACAACGCTCCATTGCCGAAGGGAGTTTCTGACCCCGAGCAAGCAGCCGCATCCCCACCCAGCCGCCGCCGCTGTTCCCGTTGCAGTCCCGCCGCCGCCGTGCCCTAGCAACCTCGTTTCCCACTGCGACCGTTCGCCTGAGCTCCGATGGAGAAGCGGCACGGTGATAAATCGCAGCCCACAGGAACCATCCGATATAGTTGAACGACATGTATGTTTCTAGTCGAAACCCTAGCAATTAGGATTAGTCGATTTAATGGGCGATTTAACTGTTGTTCATTGAGTTGCTTCAGTTTTCAAACAATACTGACATTTATTTAGGATTGGGCTCGTGATAGTGGAAGCTAGTGTGAAAAAATGAAAACCCTAGAAATTAGGATCCGTTCATAGGAGCCCATATTAGATTCTGTGGTAATTTCGATCCTCATAATCGCTTTCATTTTTACAATTTTGATTTGCAAATTTCGTCTTTGATTGATTGCTAGCTCTACCTGGATGGAAGAGTTTTGCGTCGGAGACGAGCAGTTGCTGGCCAAGTGCAATGAAATATGCTCCTGGTTTCCGGGCGTGGATTCGCTCGAGTTGCACTCGCTGGGCCTGACTTTGGAAGTGACACCGGATGAACTGAAGCAGATGGTTCCTGAAGGCAAGGGGGCAATCACATTGGAGATTCTCCTCTGGGCAATGGCAGAGGTGATGGAGCCGTCGGATCCTTGACAGCAAGCTCGCTGGTACGAGTACCGCTCCCACCTCTCATCGTCGAATCCAGAGCCGGAAGGGCCGGAGAATTTGCATATTTGTCAGGACCCCGATTCCAAGTCACATCAATCTAGCCGGTAACACCTCATATCTCTTTGCGGCCTCACACACGGTATTCCCACGGGTGTCGCCTTACCATGGCCCGGGACCGTTTGCGCCTTTTGGCTCACGTATATGATAGTGTCGCTAGCATCCATATGACAGGTAACCCGGACCGACATGGCTAGTCGTGAACCCAAAGCGGCACTAACCTATGGTGACAGGCATACATGAATCACATCGAGCATGTCGGTCAGCAGCGTGTGAATCCGGGCTGTAGCACTGGGCTAACAGGACTCCGGGAACCCGGGCTGTAGCAGGCTAGGCAGGACTCCGAATGTCACTGCGTGACATTTCCCCGAAGGGACAGACACAGGAACGAAGTGAAACACATGCCGGCCAGTCAAGTGTCTTGAGCAGTAGTGCTGGGCTAGCAGGACTCCGGTTAACCGGGCTGTAGCGGACTACTATGGCTCATGGAAGCACTAGACTACATTTCCCCATAAGATAGGCTGCCAAGAATAAACAACTAGATTGTCGGATCCCACACATACCAAGCATTTCAATCATACACACAATATGCTCGTTATGTGTAAATACAACATGGCAACACAACATAACTCTACGACTTGAGTATTTATTCATTAGGCTCCGAGGAGCGAGACATTACAAACATGGGTCTCATGACCCAACAATCATAGCATACAAATCAAAGCACATGCGGAAGCTTAACATGTCTGAG